CGCGTTTCGTCCAACTCCTTAGTCACCTCGGTTAATTTTTTCCTCCGCTTGCGCTCCTTCTTTGATAAACTCATCAAACGCTGCCGATGAGCCTCCAACTTTTTTTGCTTCAACTCATTCTCCTTCTCAGCATCTAAGTTGACATTTTTAATCTTAAGCGAAAGCAAGCAAGTGAGGCATTCCACATGCACATTCGGTAGTTTTGTCTTTATCAAGTGATTTATACGTCTCACAATATACAGTGTCATATCCAATTTCTTATCGTTCGCAAAAACTGTGCGGAAACACTTGTTGATTTCTTCTCGTATATTCTGATAGCGGCAGTTCAACATGTAGACCAACAACTGTGCGACATTCTGTACATAATTAAAGTATGGATGTGCGACGAGTATATCACACATACTTTGCACTGCTACTTCGGCCATCTTTACCGACTGTGCGGTGACACGCCCTTGTCCACGTTTATTCACAGCGCCTGTTAGTTTTTCAAGTTTCTGCAAAAACTTCTTGAACTGCTGCAAAAGCGCATTTTCGTAAGTCACTCTTTCAAGCGTTGCTTTTCGCACTGAAATATTAACAAACCAAGCATTTTAAATCCATATATATGTACTAATGATTGAAAATAACTTCACACACTTACATGTTTGCATCTTCGTGTCAACCTGACCAACGCGATATTCTGGTAAAATATCCTTAAAAATTTCAGTTGTTGACACGATCGCCAATCTGCGTACTGTTAAAAGATTTGGAGCGTCTGCCGCATTCGTCTCCTCCATCAACTCGAATAAGGCATTGAAATTTCGCATTTTATCCTCAGGTTTTTCTAAAAGGCCTGAACAAATGATGCCAATACGATATTTCTGACGCTCTATTTCTTGTTGTCGAGCAATGAGCAAATCCGTTGTGGAAATTAGGTTTTTCTTGAGTTCGGGTAAAGCGCTACCTTCACAAATCTCATTGACCACGTCATCATCGCTGTCTTCGTATTCAATGTTTTCATCTCCATCCACTTCCTCTGGCTCGGCTTCTTCGCTCCGCTTTACTTTTGGTTTGGGTATGTAATCCACTTCCGCACTTCGTGTGATAATATGACCATCACGGCTTTTGATTGGCAATAGATTGATCTTAACTTTTTTCTTGTCATTTTCCTCGACTGCATTGCTGGTATAGGCTTTTTCTAAACCAACAGATTGCTTCTCCTCTTCAACATCAGCATTCTTGCGTTTGCGTTGCTTATTCAAACCTTTTTCGTGCAAGTATTCCAAATCATCGCCGTCGAGCATATCAGCAATGTTCTCCACCACTTCGGAAGCATCCAATTCGTCGTCATCATCATTGCCAAGTGGGTCGTTATAATAATCATTTTTTAGCTTCTGCTTTTTGGGCAAATGTTCACGTTTTTTCGCTTTTTGACGGAAAATATTCTGCTTTCTATCCTTTGCAGCTTTCTGCTGGGCTATCTTATGTTGTTGTTGCTTGGGGAGTGGAGTCTTCTTCGACTTGAGATGCGTGTTGCGTTTCACGGCACTAATTTTAACTTTTTTCTAAGGGATATGAATAAATAAATAATAATGCTAATTAGGAAATCCTTTAAAGTAATTTATTTATTACAAACCGTGCCCATTTTATTTGTTAATTATTTGTAAGATTTTCTGAATTGAAAACAAAACACACGTGCGCGAGAGCAAAGCCGCATACAGTGCTGCCACCTTTGAGGAAATGTGAAAAACTGTTATAAAATTAATTTGGAATGCAAAGCAGAGATGACACGAGTATTTTAATTTTGTACCAGATGAATAAAAATAATGTACTAAATAACCGAAAAAGTACCAAAATTTAAAAAAGCATACACACAGTTAAATGTTTTAAATTCTATAAATCCTCCATATTTAATTGTCAAAAATATTTACTTTTATCGAAATAACAAGAGCCCAAAATGACATTGAGATCTGTGAATTTTTTCTGGAAATTTTTAGCTGCGAAAACTTGCAAATAGCCAAAAGCAGAAAATGAGTTGCATTTAGGTGACCAGTTATGTATGGATAAATGTGCATTTAGAGTAGCATTTTGAGCTAAATGCGCTAAATGTGATTTTAAGCGTAAGCAAAAGAATTTGGCAAAGAACGTTAATCTACGTTCTACGTTATGTAAATCTACGTTCTTACGTTCTTTGCATTTGGACAAGGTGTAAATATGTTATAAGGCACAACTTCTACAAATACAATCATATGGCAGCTCATATATTAGGTTCGTTCGCGTAGCTGTTAATTGTTCATGTTTAACCAAAACTTACAAGTTTTTGCGTTCGCGTACGCAAAAAACTTGCAAAGTAGGGGAAATTGAGAGAGCAAAGTGACATTTCATTTTGAGGGGAAGCTGCTGGTTTCTGCTGGAAAAATTTTTGCCAACAGCAATTTGCCAACAGGAAAACAGCTGATCAAAAACAGCTGGTTGGCATTTACGCAAATCACAAAATTGAATTTGATGNTTGAATGTAAACAAAAATTATATCAGCTGTTCGTCTAACTTGCAAGTTTCTGCAAATTTTCTGTTCGCGTCTCTCTTGTGAGCGATCAGATGACATTTCGCCGGAATTTGGCAGTTTGTTGGTTTCTGCTGAAGATTTTAAACGAACGCACCTATTAACAGCTAGCTGTTATAACAGTTTGTAAAGGTAAACAAAACTTTGATCTGGTGTTTAGAGGATTGGGCAAACTTACTGAAATCGCAAAAGTAAAAATAAAGAACTAATTTCTAATTCTTCTGAAATACCTACTCCATTCTTGAAACTTCATAAAGGATAAATTTCACCAGTTTAAGGGTTGAGAAAAC